GTAGAGACAGGGTTTCACCATGTTGGTCAGGCTGGTCTTGAACTCATGACCTCAAGTAATCTACCTGCTTCAGCCTCCCAAAGTGCTGAGATTACAAGCATTAGCCACCGTGCCTGGCCAGCTTACTTCTTGAGTCTCTTTATTTTATTTTATTTTATTTTATTTTTTATTTTTGAGTCTCATTTTTATGGTGTTTTCTGGAGGACAAAAGATAAAAGCATGTGCTTAGTCTGCCGTCTTTAACTGGGAATGTTTTATGCAGCAGACTGTTGAATTATTGTAAGAGTAGTAATTAGAATTTTTAAGACGTTTTCTTTTTTTCTGTGTTATTTATTTACTAAAGGACTTGTTATTCTGTTTGTTTATGTTCTTCCTTCTGTCTTTTTTCTTTTCCTCACCTTGGCAGTCCTCGGTATGCTTCACTCCTTACTGAGGTATACTCAAATTGGTTTCTTCTACAGTGTTCCCTCAGACCTCTTTATATTGAAGAGAGAGATGATAGTAATCTTTGTATGAATAGGATAAGCTGATTTTCCTTTAGAATTAATAGGTGAGAAGTAGGCAGGTCCTCCGGAGAAATGCACATTTGCAGAATGAAGGAAAGAAGGCAGACAGGCAGGCTCTACTCTGGGCTTATGGAAGTTTTGAGTAGGGAACCATCACCATAATCATTATTATTTTTGTGGAGGGCTTTATGGAAAGACTTTCCAGTAAAAGGTACATTTGAGTGAGACTTGAAAACTTAACTAGATTTTAAAAACATATTGTAATTTTCTAGTAAAATACGCTAGTTATAAAAAAATTCACTACAAGGCCGGGCGCGGTGGCTCACGCTTGTAATCCCAGCACTTTGGGAGGCCGAGGCGGGTGGATCACAAGGTCAAGAGATCGAGACCATCCTGGTCAACACGGTGAAGCCCCGTCTCTACTAAAACTACAAAACATTAGCTGGGCATGGTGGCACGTGCCTGTAATCCCAGCTACTCAGGAGGCTGAGGCAGGGGAATTGCCTGAACCCAGGAGGCGGAGGT